TACCCTCCCACCTTCCTTCCAACGCCAAGTGAATTAGTAATTACGAATTTCCAAGTGACCTTCATCCATTCCCTTTATACTTACATTTCCCCTAAATGATTTCTCAGAAAATGGCTTAAGTAGGCACCTGACTTTCAATCACCCTTAATCCCTAGGTCAGGCAGTCGCATCTGCAGATGGGTAAGCACAGTGGTGGGAAATGGTAAACAGAATCATTTTATAACACGCACAATGGGGATTTGAAGGAGACTTTCTATCTTCCTTTGATTTTAAAAGCAGATGTGAGCTTGGACAGGAAAATTTATCCTTCCTACAGTTTTTCCTCCCGTAGTGTTCAGATACTATTAATCACAGTAAACTAAAATTTTACACAGGCCAACAGATTTCAAAGGCCTTGCCAAGAGGGCAGTTTAACTATAAGAAATCAGCTCCCCACCCTTCCTGGTCCTGGAATTATCAGTGAGGGGGGAGGTGAATAGCCGCATTGTGGCAATGAAGGCAGCAACAGTGAAAACTCAGAGATGACGTTCCCTCCACATTTCCTGCCTGAGTACTACCAACCCTGTTTGGAACAACACCCCAGTGAGCCAGCTGCTGCGACTGGGGCTGCCACCCACGTCACTGAATCTTAGAGGAGCTTCAAAAGATCAGAGAATCCTAAGCCACCATTGTCTGCCAGCTAACTAAGAAATGAGGAAGTGGAAGGACCGTTCCAAAGATAAAAAGCTAATTGATGGCAAAGTCAACGTTGGCCCCAGATACCTCGATTTAGAAAACAAAACCCTGATGTCCAGTCCGTGGCTTTCAAACCAATGCTCCTCCTCCCACCCCATGCAGATAGTTTCTGAGGGTCCTCCAGCACCCTCCTCCTCCCACAGCGATCCCAGCCATTCCTGTGGTTTCTCTCTTGTGGGTTCTCATACTACCCACATGAACATGAAGATCGAATCAAGAGCTATAACAATGACCTGTCTCCCAATCTCTGTCCCAAACTGCCAGCTGCTTCATATGCAAATGCCCCAAATTCAGGATCCTCCCACCAGCAACCCCTCTTTACCCCTAAGCCTCCTGGGCCCTGAATTCCCTACACCATTAATGGTGACACGGAATGTCTAGAAGCACCTTCACCTCTCTTATCCCAACAGTTGTAAATGATTTGGTAATTTCCTAGTGCTCCAGAAGTTCTAGCAACCACAGCCACTGCCCTGGCCAGACCCGTATCACTGCCCAAGTGGAGATCACAACAGAGTTTCCTTTTTTTTTTTTTTTTTTCATTCTTCAACTGAAGCAATTGGCACCTGCAGCTTAGATCTCTTGTATGTTCTTTTTTTTTTTTTTTTTTTTTGCTAGGGCTGGGTTTGAACCCACCACCTCCAGTATATGGGGCCAGTGCCCTACTCCTTTGAGCCACAGGCACTGCCCCCAGAGTTGTCTTTGTAGAACTTGGTTAGGTCATGTATTGCAGCAACTTAAAAATATTTAATGCTTCCTCTTTGCCTACTCAATAAACACAAATCAAAAATAGATAAATAAGAAGGCTTATTTACTTCGGCTCAGTGACATCAAAGGCAGTATTTTACAACCTTTTTTTAATCTCATGGCATGCTTGAACCTATAATTAAACTTCCACAGCACAACTTGAATTATGTTGATAAAAAAAACTAAAAAGAAAAATATACTTACTATGCTTTGAACTTCTTTTAAAATAATTTAATTAATGATCTTTAAAGATTTTCAGAGTACACCTAAGATCCTCTTCCAGCACACCAGAAATCACAGATCTAAGAGCTTTCTAAGAGCCCCAGCTGTGTTAGCATGTCAGGCGCTGTCTTAAAGTAAAGTGAGTCCCCTACCCTGGGGCTGCCTCCGTGGTCACGCCACTCTGCAGAAGCCCCCCATGCCTGTGCAGGAATGGTAAAGAAGGGTTTCAAACACCACACATCTCAGAGACACTGGACAAAACTTCCGCGGTGGCCCTCCCAAACCTGAGATGTCCACAGGCCTACTTATGCCTTTTGGGACATTGGCCAGGCCCGTGGATCCCCTCTGGAGAATGCCACCTGCTAGCCAGTCAACTGCACGGTTGGGTCCCCAGCAGCTATGTGTCTACGACCTGCCCTGTCTCCTGACTGAAGGTGTCAGGATGGAGCCTGCCTTGTGAAGGTGACTCGGTATGGACAGAGTTGTCCTCCACTGCGGTGAGGCCCACACTCACCGCCACTCCCACTGTCAAGGCCCAGGGAGCACCCTGAGTCCTGTGCTTTCTGCAACACAGAGGCTCATTATTTGGTTGCATTCACTGGTTTCCTCCCCATGGTTTCCCTTTTGTCTGTGATTGTGAGTTTGTGGTCAAAGCACTTCTGCAGGGAAGCATGAGCCCTTTTGGTACAACTCCCGACCTCCAATCAGAAGACCCAAAGTTCAAGAAGGCCTTGACGTATTCTTCAGTAATTGGCACTTTGACCACATTGGCAAATACAGGGCCGAGGAAGACTCTGCCCTTGTGCAAGGCCCCTGTGTCATGAGTGTAGGAATAGGGGTGTAGCTCCTGGGCCAAGCTCTTTGTGCTTTCCTGAGGGACAGGAGTTGGCAATGAGACCCCAGAAGCCACAGATGGCGGCTCAGGTCTGTCTTCCCAGAAAAGATTTGACTAGGCTCCTTCCTCAGCCAAACTTTAGTCAGGCCCCTGTGGACCTCCTTCCTGACTAGGCCTCCTTCCCTCCTGGGCCTGCTAGGCCAACATAGGGAGAATTTTCCCCACCCTTGATTTCTAATCAAATTCCTCTCCCCTCACCTTAGATAACAAGTTGCTCCTAGTAAATTTCTATCCCCTGAGCCCCTCACCTGCCATTGGCTGTGAAGTCCCAGCTGCCTTTGCCATATTCAGACTTGACTTAGTCCTACTCAGAAGCCTCTTTCCACTACTGCAGTAACACCAATAAAACCTTTCTGGCCATCTTTAATAAGTGTCTGGGGCAATTTCTCTTTAACAGATGAAAACAAGCTTGCAGGGAGACGCAGATGGGGGTGCCTCCGAGAATGCACTGCAGGAAGCACCCCCCCATTGGTGTGACTCCCTGCCTCCTAGCAGAAGACTCAAATTTTAAGAATGCCTGTTTCTTTACTTCTTCAGTAATTAGCACTTTGACTATGTTGGCAAATTAAAAATAACCAAAAAAAAAAAAAAAAACAAGCAAGGAGATACATCCCCCTCCCTACCCTAGGCTGCTTGGCACATTCCCTACAGCTAGACCCTGAACCTCCAGCCTTAGGCCAGCATGTGCTTGGTTCCTAAGTCATTAATCTGCAAATATAGGTACCCACTGTGGGAGTGTCCAGCTTGGCCCATTTCTAAGATAAAGAAGACCAGAGCAACTACATCTCAGTCAGGTGAGCCAGTGCTCACAGACATTCACCTGATGTCCCGTGCTGTCCGTGGGGTGCAGGTGGCCAGCCACTTCTCCTAAGCCCACCTTTGCTGTTTGGGCCACCAGAAGTATCTATCAATGTACTCACATTCTTACCACAGGCAATTTCTAGGCAAGGTTTTCAAAAGGCCAAAACTTATCTGGCACTATTAAAGAATAAGCTATAAACCATGCTTTGGGGGCTTCCAGAAAGGAACAAATATGACAGGTTCTTTCAAATAATATTTTTGTCTTGGACTGACAGTGTCAGTTACAGAAAGGAATTCAGGTCTCTGATATCTTTAATATAGGGAGGAGAGGAAGAGTGATGAGAAGAAAAACTATAAATGTGTATACATAACATACACACACGTACACTGTGCCTATACTCACATTCATATGCATACATGCATGTACACATGTGTACATGCATATACATGTGTGCACATACATATACACATATGTGTACATGCGTGTGCATACACATTCATATGCACATGTGTATACACACATACACTTGTATATACACATTAATATGCACACATACATATATACATACATACACATGTGCATGCACACACTTATACACATACATATATACTTGTGTATACACATTCATATACACACACATACACATGTAAACATACACACGTGTGTGCACATGCTCATATACACACATGCTATACACATGTACATACATTCATATACACATGTGTATACACATGTTCATATGTACACATGCATACACACATACCTATACACGTGTGTATACACACATTAATATGTGCACATACATACATATATACACACATTCATAGCCACACGTGCATGCACACATCCATATACATGGATACATACATACAAATATGTATGCATATATGTTTTTATCTATAGCAGTTCACTCGCCACATTTATAAGTTATAAAATGAGTGTTAAAAACTAACATGTACTATATTAAAACATTATGTTAGAATTTGGTTTTGCTAGAGTCTCTGAACTGAAATATTTTCTTAACTCAGTAGTCTGATGATAGTATCATCAAAACATTTGACCTAAATCCATCTGATTGCTCACACAAAGGGAGGGGGAGCTTATGTGCACATCATTTATATTAGCAAACTTAATAAAAGTTATGAAGTGTAACCATCCCACGTCATGGTTTTACAGTTTAGTGGCTTTATAAAAAATGATTTATGAATGCACATAGCTGCCTGTATTTAAATTGCATCCACTCTGTGGCGAGAATATTCTGTATTTGTCTCATTACTCATTCCTGAGAGGACCCTGTTCCGTGCTGGCCTGACCCGCATGCTCAGCGCTCAGCAGCGACCTTGGGTTCCAAAGGCACCACCAGAGGCAACCACGATTTCTTTTGCATCTTTTGCTTTTTGGAGGCTGCTAGCCAAACAACATGGGTGTTTAGAAATTCAAATCAGCTTCAAATCTTGTCAGAGCCACTGAGCTATCATCTCTAGTTTGGGGGAAACTAGACTCAAAAGTACACTACATTATTAATAAAAATAAAGGAAAGAGAGAAGAGAGTAAATAAAGTCTTGAAAAGGAACACTGCCTGGACACAGCCCACTTCCTTACCTGTGTTCAAAAGACTTTCATTTCCTTCCCAGGCAGAATGATCTTCGGGGGATGAGAAGAGTCGGCTGTGGATCTGGAAAATAAACAGAAACCCTTCCTAGTTTTATATTTTATTTGCCAAATACATAATCTTCAATAATATACATTATTTTTCAAAAAAAATTGGGAACATCCCTAGAAGCACATCCAAGAAAGAACTACAGTCTGTAACGAGTCCTAATTTCCATTTTCTCCCAGGTTACCCCTGCCAGTGAATAAAAAGAAGGTTTCTGATGACTTCGTGATGCACAAGAAGAAAAGGGCAGAAGGGGAAAAGACCCTGACCAGCCAGCATCAATTTGCTGTGCATTTTATTAGTAGATCAGGGGATCACATCTAATCGTTTCTTTCTAGCCCTTCATAGCACTGAATGGGTGCTGAGCTCTATAGCTGGATGCTCAATAAATATTGATAAATTGATTAACCATGAACAATCAAATTTTAGGAATTAGCCTCTAAGACCCAATGAAAATGAGATTAACATATACAAAGCTATTCTAGCTATTCTGCTATCTGCAAGTATGATTACTACACGGTCTCTACCGAAAGGGAAAGGTTTATTTTGTGATTTATTCTGAAAGCAGTTCACTGTGGGTGAGATTTGAGATTCAGTGAGACTCCAGAACATTCCATTCCATACTGGGCATCTCCAGTGTCCCTCAGAATATCCCAAGCTAAAGCCACTTTTCTGATGGCCCTGCAGTCTTCATGGCCAGACTTGGAGGGACAGTCCCTTTGTGACACTCAAGCTCAGCTCTCACCCTGAACCCCAGTTAATTTCATAGTCTTGAGGCTGAATCAAGCTTTTGGGGGTTCAGTTACCATTTTTTTTCTCCTTTTCATCCCCCACATCTAGGCAACCAGTTCTGGAGTTGCAAAGGGGAAACTATAGTCAAACAAATCATCTGTCCCAGGAGAAGTCTGGCCTCCTCCCACCCCAGTGAAGGAGAAAGAGTGGAGTGGGACATGGACTGAGCCTGGCTGAGACCCAGCAGGGCTGACAGTTCCTACCATTATCTGCCCTTCCCTAGACTTCTCAGCTCTGGCTCAACTCAGCAATTGCCTGTCAGCAATATGATTATTAATTATAAGAAGTGCTGAAAATGATTGTGGCTTCACATGTGCCAATTGTATACTTAATGCTTCACATATGAGGTCTGCAAACTCATCTTAGAAAAAGTGCTACATACCTCATTACTGAATATCATTATGGTCACAGTCACCTTTGAAGTACTCCCCTTGGGAAGCCATGCACCGACTCTAACACCTAGTTCAGCTGTCAAAGCATGTTTTGAGAGACTCTTTTCCTGGAGTGCCCATCAGAGCTGTTATCATACAATGCACAAAAACATGCAACAATAATAAACCCTGCTCAGCAAGACACCACCACATGTGCACAGCTCAGCTGTGAGACACTGATACACCAGGGTAGGAAACCTTACTGAGTTGTTTGCACAGTGCTAGTGTAAGCACATTAAGTTCTCAAACTTAATTATTAGACCTCATATGACAACAGCTCTGATGGCCATTCCAAAAAGAGTTCCAAAATTCCTTTGAAGGGTGGATGAGGCACCAGCCTCAGTGCATAGCTTCCTAAAGGGAGTACCTCAGAGGTAGCTGTAGTGATAGTCTGCAATGAGGTTTGTAGTACTTTTTCTAGGATGAGTTCACAGATTTAATTATCAGACCTCATATATCATCTCATTGAATTTACACAACATTTAGATGTGCTGCTTTGAGCCCTGGTACAGCAGCTGAGAAAACTAAGATTTCAGTTATGTGATAGGCCAAGGTCACCGGGCTGGGTGCAATGGAGCCAGGAATCCGATCAGGCTAGTAAAACCCAAAGCACTCTAGCTTTAAGCCAATGTGTTCTAAACATTGCTATTGTTGTTGTTACCATTAAGTATTATGATCTGAATGTGTTTCCCAAAATGCACATGTTAGAAACTTAATCCTCAAAGCAACAGTGTTGTGAGATGAGGCCTAAGGGGAGGTGCTCAGGCCCTGAAGGCTCCACCTCATGAATGGATTGTCACCGCCATGAAAAGGGCTCACAGGAATGGGCTTGCTCCCTTCTGCTCTTAGGCCATCTGAGGACACAGCAGGAAGGCCCCCACCAGATGCTGCCCCTTGATCTTGGACTTCCCAACCTTGAGAACTGTGAGAAGTAAATCCAGTTCTTTATAAATTAGTCTCGTGTATTCTGTTACAGCAGCACAAATAGGGCCGAGACACTAAGTATGATCTGCTATCTATCTGATACAGCTAACAATAGCTATATACTTGCACAGTCTTTCTCTCAGGCTTAACGTGCACGTGTCACTGGAGAGATCAGATAATACATCGGCAATTTTCAGGAAGGGAATGAAGTTTTACAACATTGGACATAGGATTGGAAAATAATTTCAATTCTAGGTCAGCAGTTCTCAACCTGTGGGTTCTGACCCCTTTGTAACATGAAAATACGTTGTGACATTAGGAAGGTTGAGAACCACTGTTCTAGGACCATCTAAAATTCAAACCAATCAGGTGTGTCTGGAATCTGTCTGTGGGGCCAGGGAGTAGAGGGAAACCATCGCAGATGTCTTAAGCTTCTTCTCTCTTGGGTTTTGTCTTGCATGACTCTTTTCAGAAAGATTGTTAAGTACATTTTTTAATGTAACTCTATAAAGCCTAGCAAGTTAATTAACCTGGGATACGACAACACAGAACTAATTTTTACTCAGCAAGCTCCTGATGCCCTGTGCACTCTCCAGTCAGGAGCCCCAGCCCACCATGGAGTGGCATACACCGAGGGGTGCTGCTGCGGACCACGGAAAATGTCCCTCTCTGGGACCCCAGCAATTCACAGTGGCAGGCACACTGACTGGCCCCGCAGCCCTCTGCAAATGTCTGGCTTCTCCAAAGCCTCGCACCACACACATCCTGTGGACCCAAGGCACTATTTATCTAAGAATTCCCATTGAGGGAGTGACTTGGGAATATCTTTAATAAGGTGACCAGATTTTAACATTGGTAAAGCAGGACACCATTGACAGGGGGTGGGGGGGTGGGTTCGTAATTAAAAATTTGGTCTATGTAGAGCAACAAAAATTTTCATAGAATGTAAAAATAGTATTGTAATATATATTCTTTTAATTTCAACATAAGTACAATTTACAAATATAATGCATTAAAAAAAATTATGTATAGGGCGGCGCCTGTGGCTCAAAGGAGTAGGGCACCATCCACCTGGGCGACCTTGCCCACGAGGGGAGTAGGGAGTTTACATTAAGCTCTTCATTCCCAAATGGAGTACATTAACCTTTTCAGCAGCTGAACCGTATATTCCCTTCCTGTTGTCCCGCCGTTCCCTAGCTTGTCGTGTATTCTTTCCAAAAATTGGGACTTTTTTAAAACACTGCGGGATGCATAACAAATTGTTAAAAATAGGGACTGTCCCGCCAAAAGTGGGACATCTGGTCACCTTAATCTTTCATCAACTGACCCTAGGTCTCCACCCAACTGCAATGTCCTGGAAAGACTCAGCACCGGCTCTGCTTTCTGCTGGTTGTTGACTGTAACTCCTGCACATAGAAGAGCAGCACTTTTCATTACCCCAAGGATAAAGTATGAAGAGGCACCTGCTAATCTCTGTGGCATCACCGGGCACCTCTGCCCTGGCCATGTGCTCTGTGTGAGCCTCCCTCATCTCCTTGGACATGAAGATGCTCACCCTTCACAAGGCCCTGCACAAGCTACCCCATTGCATAACATGTTCCTCTGGTCTTCCTCTGGGTCTCAGCTCACTTGACTGTCCATGTGAATGTCTCTCCTGACACTACCTTAAAAACTAGGTCATGTTTCTTGTTTGTAAGCTCTTGCAAAAGCATTCCTTTTCCTTCTGAGCACTTGCCTCATAAATACACATGGCTGTGTGTAAATCTATAGCTGATGTCTGCCTCCCCCAGAACTATAAGCCCTGTGAGAATAGCATTATTTCTGCCTTGCTTGTCAATAGATTTCTAGTTCCTAATATAGGGCTGGACACATAGTAGGTTCTCAATAAGCATTCATTGAAAAAAAAAAAAAAAGATTGCTGGGCACAGTGGCTCCCTCCTGTAATCCTAGCACTCTGGGAGGTCAAGGCAGGTGGAATGTGTGAGCTTATAGATTCGAGACCAGCCTGAGCCAGAGTGAGACCTCATCTCTAAGAAAAAAGCCAGGCATGGTGGTGGGATCCTGTAATCCCAGATACGTGGAAGGCTGCTTGAGCTCTGGAGTTGGAGAGAGCTCCAGCAAGAGTGAGACCTGTTCTCTACTGAAAATAGGAAAAACTAGCCAGGCATGGCGGCAGATGCCTGTAGTCCTAGCTACTCAGGAGGCTGAGGCAAGAGCGTTGCTGAAGCCTAAGAGTTGGAGGTTGCTGTGAACTACGATGCCATACATAGCGTTCTACCCAGGGTCACAGAGTGGGACTGTCTCTCTCTCATAAAAAAAAAAGACCCCATTTTTTATCCATGTTCCCAGCTGCTTGTGTGCCTAGTTGAAGTCTGACCTGAGGATGACCAGAGCTATCTCCGTGTCAGGGCACCTGCCCTCCGGGACCCTCCAGCAAGTCAGTGCAAGGGCCCTTCCAGTCGTTATCTCCGTAGTACAGATGTGGGCGCTGTGGCACAGAGCAGTTGGGTAACTCTTCCAAAGTCACATATACCTATTAAGCGAGTCAAGGACCCCAGCTTGGACCCCAGGCAATGAGGATCACTCCCGGGAAGCAGACAACTGTGGCCAGGACCAAGAAGCATAAAAAGAACAGAGTGCCCCACAGGAGTGGGGGTGCTGCACTGTGCAAGGCGCTTGGTACAATGACCTCAGTTTTGATTTTCCAAAGTCCCTGGGAGGCAGCCAGGACACGCAGATTTTTCTTTTTTTTTTTCTTTTAAATATTTAAACTACTCCCCAGAGAGGGTAAGAAATCTCAGTGCCCAAGAACAAAAAGCCAGTAATCCCATCACACCCAGCAGCCACCCTGAGCCTGGCCAGCCATCCTCC